TCGCCAGAATTGTGGGAAATCCTTGTTGGAAGCATTCCAAAATTTGCAACCTTTCGAGGCAGCTCAATTTCGTCCATTTATTTAGTAACCTTGTCATTGTTAGTGTGCAGAAGCACAGCTTTATTCTACGCTATTACTCATCTTTCAAACGGTTCTTCCTGTTGCAGTGAAAAGTGTGTGAAGTGAAGCACTGAGCTCCATGCGCATCACAACGATTCAAGCTACAAGCTATCGTTGCCACTGTACCACGAAACAGTAGCACTCCCTTCTGGGGGGTCGCTGATCACATGGCTCAGGCTGTTTGCAAAAAACTCGCCCGGGCGGTATTGCTCTGCCTACATTTCCGGTGCCGGCGTATAGGCCAGGCACTGCGCCATGCGGTGTGCAATAGCAGAAAGCGAAACATAGAGGATAGTGCCAGCTCTGTCACAGTGGCTGCAGAACTGATTTTTACCCGGGATTGATCTCTGGATGATACGACTGGAAGGCTGGTCGTTGTCAGTGCATCAGGGTCACAGCAACGCTGGAAGAAATGTTGAGAACGAATAAGATTCCGGTGCTCACTGCAGAAGGATGGAGTTTCATGCGGTATCGATCCCGTGACCCGCCACTGGCAGCGTGGAACGTTGCCATTGAGCATTTGCCGAAACGTGTCACTCCATGAAAGTTATGCACATGAGCGCACATATTGGCTTTACCGTATGGGAACTTGTAGCAACTGCAATGCGGCAGCAAAACAGTCGTTAACGCACTAGAATCGATGCCTCTCTTGTAGAAGTCCACTGAGTTCTGATCGAAGTGAAGCAGGGACGGTAGTAAGTGCCCTAGACTGACAATTAAATGTGGTCATTTTCACCCATTTACGAGGAACGCGGAATTATGGACTTGACTCTTCTTGAATCTTGCCACACTATCTGCAAAACTTGCGCCACTCTCGGACTTGAACCCTGGATGACAGGACTCAAAGCCGGGTTTTTGCCAGTGCACCAGGGATCACTCGATCACAGCATCGGAAGAGGTCTTGACAACAGGTAAGCAACGGATGTTGTTTGCAAATCTTAGACTCCAAGCGGTGTAGATCCAGCAACCTTGCCAGCGGCAGCGTGGAACGTTCCATTGAGCCATGGTAATTTGCCATGGTGGAAGTGGTGAGCCCCACGTTGCCTGCAAACCTTGCGTCACACACGGGTTGAACTTTCGGTGCACCGTCCCATGAGCGGCATCGCTACCACTGCACTAAGGAGCCCTTTCTTATCGTAGTGAAAGGGTTGTAGAGAAAAGGGAATAGCCTGCGAAGGTTGCAAACCTTTAGACATCTCGTAAAATTGATCCCGTGACCGATCCAACACCAACGTGGACCGCAGGCGCTACACCACTGACGAATCAATGCAAGGTGCCTCCCTTTCCCTTTCCAACACCGTGCTTTGACCCACGCACCTGGCAGTTTGAAGTTGGCCAACCCCAAAAGTCCTCCGAAGGACTTTTTGCTGCGCGTAACGGGCGTCACCTGCGTCTCTCCAAACACATTGTATTTCGCCCCTCCGCGTCCCGTTTTCTGTCAGCGAGCCCTTCCTGCGCGTTTTACGGCTGCGCGTAACAAGGAACCACCCTGCCAGGGAGCTGCAGCTCACCTGGGAAGCTTTCTTCAGAGTTTCATAAATAGGTCTCCTAGGTGCCATAGAAGCGATTTTCACCATCATCGGAAAAACTTGCAGTTACGGGCTCATTAACACGTTGACGACATCGCGCGTTTTGTGCTTTTGCACCGCGTGGGACAAGAGCGATTTTGCGAGCGCAGCCGCCGCACACCAAATCCATGGATTTTGAGCTGTAAATCCGCAATACTTAGATGCGATGAAATATCCCTACTATATATAAAACGCTATGTCTGTCTGTTTGTGTGTGTGTGTGTCACGAAATTCATAGCACGCGTCGCAGCAGTCGTTAGGAGCTGATTTTTTGATATGATATAGGGGTGGGACGGAGAACATATTTGGTGGGGGTCACAAAGTGATAACGACTGATAAGAGCAGATAAGAGGCGCCGAAACACAATATGTTTTATTGGTATTTCATGTTGTGTGCGGTGTGATCGAGTCTCTCGGTTGTGTCGGATGGATGCTGTGGTGTTTCGAGTGTGGTATAGGTCGTGGGGGGTTGGAGCAGGGTAAGATTGAGGAACAATATTTGCGTGCGGGTCAGGAGATTATAGAGTAGAAGACGTTGAGGTGTGGGGAGGCTGATAGAGACACGTTGACACTTGAATAGAAAATAAAGACAAGTTGTAGATAATGCTTTCATTCAATTATCATTTTCATTCTATCTTTGTATTGTGTGAGTAAGTCGTACAGGGCCTGTGTCGTGAGCCACACTAGAGTTTCTTGAACTTGAATGGGATGCTCGAATAAATATGATAATGAATACTAGGCATTCCGTTTTGAGATATTCGACCGCTAAATTACCTCGATACTCGACGCATAGTGGTTGTTTACATCATCACTTTAGCTGTGCACTTCACTGCGCTTATCAAACAGTGAGATACAGCCAAGATGGGCAGCCTATGCAACGTGTTTGAGTAATTGAAAGCATATATAGCTATTAATTCACGGTAACTTGAAGCTTTGATCGGGTTGTCAGTTCTATTTCAGTGCGGCGCGGTGGGTAGCGCTGTCTCTTGTTGTCATGTGTGTTTTCAATGATTTTCAATCCTGTCCTAGCTTAACAGGAGTTACAGAAATGGAAGTTCGACCGAAATGACGTAACAAGGCCATGAGAAGGGAAATTTTACTTAATTTTCCTTTAGTGGTTCCGAAATTAACTTGGATGGAGTTGTTTCAGTAAAAACCACATCTTCCCATACTATGATTGTATTCAACTTCTGTTATTCCTTTTTATCAACATGCCTACGTTATTGAAAAGAAAACGAAACGAGAATGGATCAAACAGAACATAGCCATAAGGTCTGTGAGAAAAAAAATTATTCGGCCAAACAAACAGTATTTGACCGTTCTGTGCACCATGTGTTTTTAAGTCTGCTAATGTATGACCTAACAGAATGAGTACAAAGACCCAAGAAATAAGTCACACAAGCGCAAGAAAATAGAAGACTTGGGTGGGACGCCTTACCGCGTCACAATGTCCCACGCAGGTGCGCAAAGTGGGACGCGTTACCGCGTCACGCTACGCCAACCGTGTTAAAGCTGCCCAGTTGAAGAAGCGACACGACTGCGCTTTCACCTGGATTTGCCACCCTCGCGTAATGTCATCGAGAAAGTGTGACGCACATTGTTGGACGAGTGTAATGGAAGTTATTAGCGATGAGATAAGAAGGTGCGGCTGCTTGATAAGAGGTGCACTCCAGAATGAAAACGGGACGATAACGATAACGGTATCATATCTAGCACGCTCTTATCGCACCCCTTTCCACATCGATAAGTCTTGGTTTTTGCTGAACGGAAGTGGATTTCGGCGCCTTATCACTCCGTTGATAAGGCGCCACTGCCACTGAAACTTCACGTGTTCTAACATTGGGCAGGACCCCTATCCACTCCAGTACACAGCTTTCCTTATAGTCCCTATGAGAATTATCGTGACCACTTCCTTTAACCATTTCAGACCCTTCCGCTTGATACGCGAGGGTAGCAGATCCAGCGTGATCGCTTCCTTTAATGGCTTTGACTCGTAATTAGTGGAGCGGTGAGGAAAAAAAGAGCGCGAAATTACGAATGCGCGCTATGTTTGCCACGTATACCCTTCAGTGAAGAGGAATTTGAAATACTTTACTGACGGGTCAACGTGGCCTCTGCGTCCCCTCAAACCCGTGCTCTCTTTTTCTGCTTGACTCTTAATTAGCGATGCAGGTTATCTCTCTCGCCCCAGACGGGACACGAACCTACGCCTCTTGGTTACCGGGCAAGTGCGCTACCGGAACACCATTTAATCTCTACTCAGCCTTTTTATGGTGTACTTACTAGCTTGTCAGCACTCACTCGCACAACTCGCTGAGCCGGTTAGTCGATATCGGGAAATGCTGCAAGGTTGGAAGCCTTAGCAATGATTTGACTTGCTTTTGTTTGTTGCCTTTGTCTCAGCTCATCTTAACACGTTATCTCTGAATTAAGGGAGGGTCACTACCGTCTCAGACCAGTCTGTGAGCCCTTCTGAAGGGCCGGTTCAGAGGTTGATGAAATCAAGTGAGCATTATTGCCGCTTTACTCAGTGCTTCCCAATCGCTTATCCCACTCCCATCTTTGAGTCGAATAGAAACTCGTGCACTCAATGGCATGCGCAGTCAATTTGATCTCGCTGATGTTAGCACAATTCATAGCATCTCTCTTTTCTCTGGATATGAAAGTAATAGTGCTGCCTCTCAGAGCCTCCCGTGGTCGACCCACGCGTTCATCCATTATCGAAACTATTTCCTCCTCTCGAGGAGTACAACCCCCTTTTCTGTTTCAGTTACAAAAATATTTCTACAGAATGGTGTATCCTAGCGTAAAACAGGAGTATCAGTTTTTGCTTACTACGTCCAGACACCGCCGAGGAGGGGGTGAGAAGTGTGTGATAGTTTTTCAACGAACTTAACTTCCCTGAAGCTTCACAGCTTCCAGAGCACAAAGGTATTTTGAGTCGAATCCGAAAGAAGGCGATTAAAACTTTTAGAAAATCCTAGAGTCCCCTTTAAAGGCTGACAAATCTTGTTGTGGAGTGAATCGCGTCCTGAATCGTTCAATTCCCGCTGGTTCTCCTTTTATTGTTAATTGCATTCATTCTTACGTTTTTCATGCTGACATACAGTGCACATTTCATGCTGACATACAGTGCACAAAAATGCAATTCAGCCAACATTTTTGCAGATCTGCAATGAGTACTTCGAATCAGTCGGCTCAAGTAAAGCGACTCGTCAACAAACTTTGGTGGGCATTCACACTTATACTTAAGTCATTACAGTTTTGCTTCAGAATGTTATAGAGTTCAAGAATGATAGTTTTTGTAGAAAAGATGATAGAAAGCGCTGCTCAGACTGTGATAGAAGTGGTGCTTGGATTAACTTACATATTCGTCGTGTTTACTATTGTCACATCGAAGAATAAGATTTTCAAGAACATCTTTTATGTGCTATTTGCAGCAACAGGTAAGGTACCGCACTTCCTTCTGCGATTGATGAGAAACACATCTGAAGTCGAGTCTGCAATTGTAGCAGTTCTCATCTTTTTCCAAACAGACCAGAGGCTCAAGTGTCAATTTCAAAAAAGTCACGTTTTACAAAAGATCAACTTTCATGTCACATGTTTAACATCATTTCACGTGCTGCTTTAGCAATAACTGGGCGGTACGAGCGGGAGCTCGGGACAAGAAGTAGGAAGATTAAAAAGACCTCTCAAAAAAACTCCTAAGTGGCGCTCTTGGCGATGTCGATAGTGCGAGTTCAGAGGATGCTGTGAAACAAGGCGAGTCAACGTTGACTTCCAAGGAAAGCCCTTCAGGTCGCCATGTCCCTTCAAAATAAGACTATAGTACCTTATGCTGAATCCAAATCTGCCTTCCAAACTTGCTAAACGATCCCCTGAAGGGAGCTATGAACCAAAGAACGCAGCGATACGGTCTAGGCTCTCTGGCAGTCGTGAGTTGGTCCCTTTTCTATAATAGTTTACGCCGTTGACTTTGTGCGAAATATTCCTAAACTGCAAACTCGGACATTCCTGAAACACTTTCGTGAATGTTGATTGCCTAAGGCTACGTGATTAAGTGTCCAGACCTCATCCTGAACTCATTATATGAGTAACCATAAACTTGATTAAATAACCACTGAGAAATCTTCTAAAGCAATGAAGTTTATTCCTCGTTTTCTTCACATTGTAAATATGTAATCAAAAAGAAGAACGGAAGTGAATACAAACCAATTCGTATGGGAAGATATGTGTTTACACTGAAACAACCACGTCCAAATTAAAGTTGAAACCACTAAAGGGAATTATGTAAAATTTGACTTTTCATGGTCATTTTGGTCGAACTTCCCTTACTGCTACTCCCGACAAAGTGGACACATCGAACATTATTGAAAACACTTCATCGCATCTAAGTATTGCGTATTTACAGCTCAAAATCCATGGATTTGGTGTGCGGCGGCGGCGCTCGCAAAATCGCTCTGGTCCCACGCGGTGCAAAAAGCCAAAACGCGCGATGTCGTCAAAATGAAAGCATACGTGACCATTCTATGGGCCACTATGTTTGTAGCTACGTCAAGGTCTCTTCCATGGAATAAACACAAGAAACTTCTAAAAGAATCAGGCGTGCGAAAAAAATGAGTGCAATGGGTACGGGGATACAACGGAATATTCTAGAGGAGTTATTTTTTGAGCCAGCGGGCAAAGTGGGCTTTGATCTATTACATCTATCATTATTTACATGGTGTTCCATAAATATTGCAACACGTTTCTTAACTTGTGCCTTCTCTCAAGGTGGACGTATCTTTAAGGCAGGTCATCATCATCATCCCACCTTGGAGAGGCTAGATACCTTAGTACCAGATGGTGCTCTGAAACACTCGTTAGCTAGTGTGTATCGAGTTTCACATTGATCTTCGTTCTTATCGTGAATTCCTCCTCTAAAGTTGGGAACAGAGAGGATAACTGTCCGAGCACCACTCCATTGCTTCCCGCATGGCATCCTGGAGTGCCTTCTTCGAACTTTTTAGAGAAAAGGCTTCAGCTCCTCTATTTGGATGCATTGTTTAGTGCAGGCTCTGTCCCTCTAATATAGCCCAAATAGGATGGTCCAGCAGGTTGAAATCGAGAGATGAGAGCCATTCTGTTTGAGGATGTGAAATCGGGAACAGTATCATGAGACAGTCCTATGAAAATTTTTGCCTCCTTATGCAGAAGCTGGTCCCCTTTGAAAAGAACGTCATTCCTCATGGGGAAGCTAGATACCTTAGTAACAGATGGTGCACTGAAACATTCGTTAGCTAGGTCTGTATCGAGTTTTATTCGCTTTTCAACAGACGCCTTCAAACAAAACGTGGGCGACCGGTGGTTGAGACCCTTGCCCAAATCGTGATAAAGATTGGCTGCTGCTTGTGGCGAATATTCCTTTCACTCTCATTGCTTCCACAGGACCTCTTGCGGCATCCTCGGAGTTTGAAGATTGTGGCTCCGCTCCATGTGAGGAATTTTGTCGTCGATGAAAACGCCATTTTCGGCCCTCGACACCAGCTCTTTGAACTTTTTGTCTCTGCTGTGCTCCTCCCGTTGGATTGAGCAGTGGTGCTTATGCAACTTATAATGGACTGTGAGCAGTTGTTATCTGACCACTCTCTACATGGCTGTGTTTAGAAACTCCAGCGTTCTGGTCACCTTTCTCGAGCCAACCCGGGTATTGCAGTCGTTTCGCTTCTTCATGCTTTTCCTGAGATCCAAGATGTCAGAACTTGTGGGGCGGCCGCAACAAAGACTACTTTATTGGTCTTCTCTTCAGTACACGGTAGGCCGCGGAGCGGTAAAAATCCAAAGAAACGCCATGATCATCAAACGCGATGTTCATCACCGGATGTCCGACCTAGCTGTATGAGGGATTAGGACCTCTATTGAGGTTTAGGTGCACCATGAGGCGTACAACGAGTGGCAAGCCGTTACTTTGGCAAGAATTTTTCGCAAGAATTTTTAGGATTCTTTTTTAGGAATTCTGAATGAATGAATGAGTGAATGTATCTCATCTTGAGAAAGAGTCTACAGACACCCACAATTGCAGTCGAAATGTGTTGCAGTATTTATGGAACAACCTGTATTCACCCAAGGCCGCAGTACTTTTTCATAGTCAAGTTAAATTCTGAACCTTATTAGAACTTTTGTTGCAGTTGTAGTTTGAGCTCCTGAACAGGAATGTCGCACTTGTTTGGCATAAAACGCGTGCTCCTTACGTCTGTGTTCTAGAGGCTCATTCGATCGTTAGACCATGTTATCTCCAAAAAATGATAGCTGTTTAATAAGTAGGCTCCAGTAGAACTGAGCGTAGTAGGACTTTCTATTAAGCAGCACGCATGCTCCCAATAGATCTGGCCGATGTTATTAACAAAAGGTGATACATCCATTACTCATGGCTCGTAATAGCCGTAAGCAGCTATCATTTTTTGGAGACTAACATGGTCTAACGATCGACTAAGCCTCGGATTACTAAAATAATTTCTTGATATACTTGCTGTCAGACCTTAGCGTAATCTCATGCTTCGGGTGTTGGGATGAGAGCGGTTGAATAACTTCTTGGACCGTTAATAATGAAGCAAAAAATCAAAAGCATCGTATTTCCACAAACACCGACCTTTTGAAAAAACTCGGGCGGAATAGTATCCAATTGGATCTCGATGCTGACGACGACATCGAAAGCGAGATGGAAAACTTTTCTCATCGCGCATTAGGTAACCCTCCATTTTTGAGCTATTCGTTATGTTTTGTTGTCCATGAAGCTGTTATCAGTTTCTATCCCCTACCATGCCCCTGTCCCACCCTCAATATCATACCCAAGAAGCAACTCCTCATTGCTGCTGGATCGCGCGTTAAGATGCATGTGGCCCTTGCGTTTTAGCTCTCCTTATCAGCTCTTATCACGTTTCGCCATCTATCAAAGGTGTTTCCTTCCCGTGCTTCCCGTGCTCCTCAGAATATCCAAGGAGCAAAACCTCAATAGTGCTGGGCCGCGTGCTGTAAAACTCGTGAGATTTGGTTTCTAACACGCCTTATCAGCTCTTATCAATCATTGTCAGCTCTTACCACCCACCATCTGTGTCTCCGTCCCGCCCCCTATAACATATCCGGAAAATCAAAACTTGACGTCCGCTGATCCGCGTTCTATGATTTACGTCAACCACACACGCACACACGCGCACACACCAACAGACACACTTAGTCGATTTTATGTAGTAGGACATTCTTTCCTCCTCACAAGGGGAGGATGTCCAAATTTGTCAGACTTCAATTACGAGTGGTATATCAATATCATAAGACTCCTGAGTTTCACTTGTTGATATGTTCCTCAACTGCTCTTGATGTAAAGCTCTTCAAAATCTTTTATGCGACGACGTTTCGGGCCTTAAGCCCTTCCTCAGGTCTACAAGATACAAACGTGCTAATCGCACATCGACAATCGATCTAGATAAAACAATACATTGAAAGCCAATGTTCCCTTAGTTGGTCAGTTGTTAAGGCGCTAGAAAGGGGGCTTCGAAGTAGTCGTGGTTGCTCAGTCGGTTGCAATCCCCTCTGCCGACTTCCAACCCACTTCGAAGCCGTTCAGCTCCCTTTTCAGCGGCTTTTCAAGGTGAGTTTTTTGTTCAATCACACTTCTTATGCTCTTGACTAGGGCTAGCGCATCATTCCACGCCATTGTGTAGAAGGTGAGAGCCCTGCTGGGACTGCTACTTTGAAAAGCCGAGCATTGGTATCACGTAAAAAATGTGCATTTCTGTTTCGACTCCCTACCACTCTTGTCACGTTTGAACATATACCCGTTTATACAAAAACGTGTGCAAAAACTTTACGAAATGCCCCCGTATACTGCGATAGCGCCCTCCCCATCTTTAGTTACTGATACAGTTTGTGTAATGAATTATGGCGCTGGCTACAGTCAAAACTTTCTGCTCGATTGCTTTACCTAGTTCCAAAATGATCAAAAATAACCCAATTTCTTCGTAACTCAACATTATGTGTTCATGATTTCCACACAGGAGCCGCCGACATATTCGCCGTTTACATCAGCATATTCTTTCGGCTTATTCGACAGTTGCGTTTTGGTCCGGAAATTCAGCAACTCGTTCCATCTTTTGTGTTGATCAGTGGCATTACTTTCTTCGCCCATATGATTGGCAATATGATCATTGCCCTAAATCGTTACTCAGCTCTTTGCTTGATGAAGAACTACGATAAGGTTGGTCAAGTTGGAAATAATGGCAAGCTTGTTAGTATAGAATTATTATATGTTTCTGCTGCCGTAATGCTTAACAGAAAGGGGTTTGTCCCTCAACAGATCTGAAATTTGCTGAGCCTCTGTGAATTTTACCTTTATAGTTCTGGACACGGAGGAACGTATGGATTGTCGTAGTACTGCAGTACATCGCGGCTTTCGTCGCTGTTAGTCCTCTTTTTGTAGCGAAAGTGACTTATATATTGAATGCTGATGGTACATATACAGTAAGTTCATGTAATGATGCAGTAAAAAAACAAGCAAAAAAGAACAAAGAACGACTTCGGAGACAAAGGTTTTAAAGCCCTGGGAAGGCCAAGTTCGGGCTCAGACCCACTTAGTGAGCCTTCACTGTGGCTAGAAGCGCTGGGTGCGCAAGTGCAGAGGTCGCTTCACTTCCCTACTTCGAAAAGCGTTACTTAGACGCTAGGCGCTAAGAACTTTTGCTCCACCGTTGAGACACGCACCTGTTGCGACACGCTCCGCCCACCGCTCGATATCTTGTCTGCGTCGCTAACTTGATCTGCTATGCTCTCTCTACTCGACTTCTCTAGCGCTCTCCGCGCTCACATTATCTCTCATCTCCCTGCCGGCCTTTTGAACTTCTCCGCAGCGTAGAGCAAAAGGCTCGTATTTCCTGTGTATTTCACGATTTTTTTTCCTTTTTTCTCCACTGGCGGTCCACCTCCTACCCTCACATTTGAGTGGAATTACCTCATCAATTTAATCTTGAATCTTGCCTTTAAAGGCAAAGTTCGGGCTCAGACCCACCTAAGAAGCCCTTACCATGGCTAGAAGTGCTGGGTACGCAAGTGCAAAGGTAGCGCCACCTTTCTACATCGAAACGCGTCACTAGGACCCTAGGCGCCATGGACTTCTAACAGACTCCACCAAACATAACATGGTCCGCCCATCGTTTGATCCAACATGCCCCATTCCCACATATGTGTATAAAATCACGAAATGACAAAAGTTTTAGGCGCACGTACCGAAACAAATTTGTGCGTGGATAATATTCATCTAATCTTAGGTGTGAAATGGTAATAGGCCACAGCAAAGGTTTCCTCCCTGGATGACTGATAATACTAAGTAAGCCCTAGTGGGTGAATTTCTCATTGGGTATGGGTCCAAAAAAGTATTCCCCAAAATTCCACTTCTCAAGAAGGAAACCATTAATTGACATTTCATTTTTACTGACAAGCTCATTCGGTAATTTGGGGAATAAAACCAGTACCAGCGACCATTTCAAAAAAACCAGGAAAAAATGTAAGTAGCATTTGCAAACGCTATTTGGAGATCGTGGACGCCTGCTGCTCTATTGTACAGTACTCGCCGTTTGAAATCGAAAATTCACGCGAATAACGCGAATCCTCGTTAATTTCGTGAATTCGTTATAACTCGGTTCAAAATTGAGATTTTCAAAATCTGAAAAAAGCGTTGAACTCAGCTCGTCGAGTTCTATAAGAATGTGCTTTTACTTTTAAAAAGCCCTACTTCAGATTGCGCCATGCACTCGAGCTTTGGCTCGAG